AAGCCCATTCATCTCCCTGATCCTTGGATCGCACTCAGGGTGGCATATTAGGAGGGAAAAACTTGCTGCCGAGAAGATCTTCCAAGGAACATATAGAAGAAAAGCTTGAAGTTCGGTTAATGCCATTTTGTTTTGAAAGAGGGTTTTATTTTCAGTTGCCATGAATCCCCAATGGTCAGACTGGCACTTGGGCAGGAACTGGCACTATTGGGTCTGAAATACTGCCGTGCACATGGCATGCGTCACCGCCCAATTCTGGAAGAGATCCTGTTGCGGGAAGATTAGGGATGAGCCTAAGAACGACCATACTGGGTCAGACCAAAGATCCACCTAACCCAGTATCCTGCCTTATGACAGTGGCCAATGCCAGTGCTCCAGAGTGAATGAACAGAACAGGGAACCATCAAGTGATTCATCTTCTGTTGCCCATTCCCATCTTCTGGCAAGCACTATTTCTTGAAGGTCTAAACCCAGCGAAGTCAGTGGAAAATGACTCAAGCCCTGGTTTTCTTCGTTTGTGTCTAAGCTGGGTACCTTGCACTGTATGCAAAGAGGACTTACGGGAATTCCGTCATTTAAAACAATGAAAACTTCATATTCCTCCCTCTGAGCTAAGCATGGCAGTCCCGAGCAATGCTCTGTGCAGCCCAGCACTGAGAACCCCTCCCCACAGGAGGAGCTGAAACTGTGGGAGTCAGAGAGATGCCGACGCTCCCGGACAGACCGAATGCCATTTGCTGCACTATGTCCAGTCCGAGAGAGTTGGTAACCCTGGAGCAAGGCAGGAAGTGAAACTCAGCTGAGAGCCTCAGGGGAGCAGGCAGGAGGCGCAGGTGGTAGCAGGTGATGAAGAAATCGCCACTTCTCTCCAGCCGTTGACTTTTCTGTGGGTCAGTGGCCCCCAACCCAAAAAAAGATTCCCCTCCCCTACAGTAGAGGCTCATGCTTTCAGATGCAGCGTTCAGTCCCAGGAGATAAACCAAGGCTATTACATGAGCATGTGCCAAAGTAGAAATAAATTTCAGGTAAGGAAAAAAAAAATCTTCAGTCTTCTAAAAGCATAGAGTAACTTTTTTTAAGTCACTGTTTTAAGAGTGCCCTTTTAAACTCACACCTACTAAGGTACCACCAAGACGCCGTGTTGTTTTTTCAATACAGCTGGGACACTCTTACAGTGGCCATGTCGCTACAGTAGGCCGAAGAAGAATGCTATCCCGTTCACATAATAAAACCAGCTCAGCGAGCAGAGGTAGTACTTACGCTGCCAAAATTTATGTCGCTCAGGGCTGTGTTTTTCTCATACCCTTGAACAACAAAGTTTTGTGGACATCCGGGCAAGTGTAGTCATGGTCAGAGATGATGGCCCTACATAAGATTTTCTAGAGGGGGACTTTTGGTTCTGCATGCATCCAGGCAGAGCCTGGCGATACTTTACAAACCCATCAAACGTATGAGCTGTCAAGCTCCCCACCTTGAAGTTCTCCACTCCTGCTGTAGAGCTCCCGTCTCTGCTCACGCAAATAGGCACTCATGCTAATAGCATGGGAGGATGACTCGAACCTGCAAATAAAAAGCATGCCGTGAGTCACACAGCTCATACTGCCTTTGCTACAGCCACAAAGGTTGAGATACTGGGTTAAATTAATTGAAAAAGTATTTGCTAATTAATGCCATCAGCTCTGGAAGCCTGCTAGGCACGTTCCAAAGGCGGAAGACCCAGCACAGAGGTGGAATCCAATCATAGAATCACAGAATATCAGAACTGAAAGGGACCTCGAGAGATCATCAAGTTCAGTCCTCTGCCTTCACGACAGAACCAAGCACAGTCTAGATCATTCCTGAGAGATCTCTGTCTGACCTGCTCTTAAATATCTCCAGTGATGGAGATGCCACAACCTCCCTAAGCAATTTATTCCAGCGATTAACCACCCTGACAGTTAGGAAGCTTTTCCTAATGTCCAACCTAAACCTCCCTTACTGTGGTTTAAGCCTATTGCTTCTTGTCCTATCAGCAGAGGCTAAGGAGAACAATTTTCTCCCCTCCTCCCTGTGACACCCTTCTAGATACCTGAAAACCACTATCATGTCCCCATCAGTCTTCTCTTTTCCAGACTAAACAAGCCCAATTCCTTGCCTTAGACCTCATGTTTTCTAGACCTTTAATCGTTTTTATTGCTTTTCTCTGGACCTTCTCCGATTTCTCCACATGCTTCTTGAAATGTGGCACCCAGAACTGGACACAATACTCCGAATGAGGCCTATTCAGTGCGAAGTAGAGCGGAAGAATGACTTCTAGTGTCTTGCTCACAACACCCCTGTTAATGCATCCTAGAATCACGTTTGCCTTTTTTGCAACAGTGTCACACTGTTGACTCAAATTTAGCTTGTGGTCCACTAAGACCCCTTGATCCCTTTCTACAGGACTCCTTCCTAGACAGTCGCTTCCCATTCTGTATGTGTGAAAATGATTGTTCCTTCTTAAGTGGAGAACTTAGGAAGGAAGTAAACCGAACTCACACACTAAGCACACACTTTAGCTCTTCGCAAGGAAGTGCTGCAGCCAATGACGAAGACTCAATATTCCCCTGGGTAACTAGGAATAGCAACCCATTCAATTATGTTTGATTGTGTTGGGTCCCCTTCAGCCCATCTATCTCCTACTGCTGTCCACCATCAGACTCCCCCAGTCTCAGTTGACTTCTTACCATCCTTCCTCTTTATCCTTTCCCTTCTCGGCTCGCTTCCTTCCGTTTCCACTTCCCACTCCCTTCTCTTACTAATGCAATTATTTCCTCTCCCACACCTCAACCACAAGTGTTTCCAGCAAAAGAGACTGTAAACAAGTGTATAGTCAAACACGCTAAAAACTCCCAAGAACCAGCTTAACATGTGGAAACCCCCCGCCCGCATCATGTTGCTTGTACATCCATCCATCCCTTTCCCACATGGCATGGTTATGGCTTTTACTTGTTCAGACTGCCAGCTCTTCTCAGCATGGACACTGTGCATGTCACCATGACTGACTAGAGTCTATGATAATATCAATTAGCATTTCAATTGATACAGGGCCTTTCAGCTGAACAGCTCTAAGTTTTTTATAAGGCATTCATCAGTCAAGTGACGCAACCACCTTGTTACAGGAGCATTGTACTCACTTCGGAGATGGGGAAATTGAGGCTCAGAACAATTAAGTGACCTGTCTAAGTGACACCAAGTCAGTCTCAGAATCTTAAGAATAGAACCCAGAATTCCCTTTTTCCCCTGGTACTGTTACATCACATCCCCGCTTCTAAGTGACCCTCCAGCACAAATACCCAGTATCTACAAAATTAGCTTCCAAGCAGATATGCCAACTACTCGCACATGTACAGCTCTATCAGTCTACAAGTGAGATCAAGGCTCCATCTCCTGTTCAAGCGATTTCCAAAGTGGCGACTCTGAACACAGAGATTTTTAGGACAGGTGGATGGCTTCTCTAATGGGAAGCAAGTGATGGAAATGCAAGGAAGACAGCCTCTCTGCCCGGAGAGGAAAAACGCAGAAGATGGAAGAGACGACAAGGATAAGACTTTATCAAACACATGCATCCCTTGGAGGATAAAGAAATTCCATTTCACCCGAGAGATTTCCATAGAAGCAGCGACAGCTGACAAGAGACAGATAACAGAATGAGAGATCCCGATAAACATCACTGTCACTGAGGTGCTAGCAGTGACTTAGTGACAAGAGCCTGAGCAGTAAAAGATGGCTGTTCTTATGAAGCTAGGCACCATCACGTTAGCCAATTACCCTTAACTACATTTTCAACTGATAGAGCTGAGTACACAGGCTTAAGAGTGCTGCAAGTGAAACAGAGCAGATGAATTCATCCTTTTCACCCCTCACATTGAAGGGGGCTGAGAACACTTACAGAATTTGCAGCCTACGCAATGAAGAAAAGCAAGCACCCTGTGGTGCTCCAAAGTACAGCTTAGTAATGGGGAAAGGGAGTAAACAGAAAGTCCTTTAAAGCCACATATTCGATCAGCCAGAACTGGGCCAGATGTCCAGAGAATCCTCTGGAAAAAGCCAAAGACTTTGCTACCAGGGGATTCCATTTGGTGATCTGTAGGCTCTCTGCAGCTGGCATCATGTTTCCACTGTGTGTGTACACATTATGCCTTGAACAAGGGAGCCTGGATTTCTCTGTGGCCCTTTACAGCCTTCCACAACTGCCAGGGTCTGCTCTAGTTAAGATTTAGGTAACACAATAGTTATTATTTGTATTCGTGCTTTTAAAAAAAAGAATTAGGCAGATTATTAAGGATTAAAAAAAGCAGGAGGCGCTTTACGGAGGACTATAAAGAGGCCCAGGCACTGTCAACAGCTGCTTCAGAAGGGCACAAGAGGGTTAATGCAGGACACCTTTTGTACCAATCCATTCATTGATCAAGTTAGTGCAAGCCATCCAGAATACCAAGTTCCCATTTCTTCCCACTTGCATGTGGTGAGAGAACTTCAGCAGAAGGCCCTAACCCCAACTCCAGCAGGGCACTGGGGTAACGCAAGGCAGGCCTACACTCACATTCACTTCCTTCCACTTTCTTCAGAGCATCAGATTCGTTGGACTTGTTCTACTTAAATTTCACATTTTCCTTCTCTGCTGCCGGTCAATGTTCCTTCTCTCTACCTGAAGCTCCTCCCAATTACGATGTACCGTGTGGTCAACGTTCCTTCTCTGCCTGAAGCTCCTCCCAATTACGATGTACCGTGAACAGTGCCCGAAGGCCTCAATTGAGATCACATCCTTATCAATACATAACGAAAGACCGGCCAGGCCCCTCAAGAATCACATCTAAATAGTCAAGGCAGACAAAGCGGGGTTCTCTGGAGAGGCCGGCCAATAGGGCTGGAGCATTGCAGCCTGCATAGCTTCATGTATTTTTCTTAGGGCATGTGCTGTTTGCAATGTCTGATGAGCGGGGGGGAAAGCTCATTGGTGCAGGGTATGCATAGGGGGGCCGTTGCCCTGTTTGAGCCGGGGTCGTTGTGCCCTGGCAGGGGACAGGCAGCTCAGTATGTGCATTGCAGTGTATGGGAGCGGGGGCAGGATGGCAGAGCTGATGGCACTTCCTGTCGCTGTCATTTTATCATCTAGCAAGAGGAGGAAGCGGGGAAAAGGAGGGGAGGAGAGGGGAGGAAAGAAAGGACGTATTAAGATCCCCTTTTACAGATGGGGAAATGAGGCACAGAGACGTTAGAGCAGGAAACCAGTGACAGAGATGGGAATCAAACACCAGTCTCCTCCAGACCCACTACCTTAGCGACATGCACAGCTCCCTGTCCTTGCTGCATTACTTCCCAGCCCTGCACCAACCTCCAACTGCTTCCCTCATTTTCTTCCTCTCTCATGTCCAACTCTTATTCCTACGTTCCCTCCCACTTCCTTCATTCCACTACACACTTAACTCCAGTTCTACTCCCAGTTTTTCCTTACAAAAAGCAACCTGATTAACTGCCTCATCTTTACACAAGGATCTGGTTTGTCCTGGTCTCCTTTTCCCTAAGCAGCCCTTTGACTTTGTCCCTTGCCGGTGTGCTTTTGTCTTGGATTGTAAGCATGTCAGGGCAGGTGTGATCTCTCTCACGGTAGAACAAACCACGAAGCAGAAACTATCTCTGGCTCTCAGATGACAGCCGAGTTTCAGCTTTGCTAGCTCAATTTCATCTGAAGTGACTGCAAAGGTTATTAATGGCTAGTACCTGATGGTCCAGAGACCATCTCAGTATCAGGGACTGCTCTGGCGTCGTAACACTTACTTGAACAGAGGGTTTTTAGGTCTTTGAGGTTTCTTCTTTGCAAAGAAAGCGGCAAATTCCCTCCCAGAGCTGGCATAGCTAAGTTGGGCTGATGGCTCTGAGGCAGTCCGAGTGTTCTTCATATCCAAGTATTCTGTCAGCAGCATCTGAGAGCAGGGAGAAAAGTCAGGCAACATTTGAAATAGCACAATGATACACGTGCAACTCACAAACCCCAAGTGTCTGACGAGCACGCCGCTGAACTAAAAAAATGACAATTGGTAAAATTTTCAAAAGCTCCTATGTGATTTACAAGCCTAAGTCCCATTGATTTTCAATTAATCTTAATTCTTAAGTAATTCGCCCAATTTAAGGCAACCATAAAAGCACTGACTACAATCCAGAAATTCTGCAAATGTTGTCAGATGCTGTCACCACGGATACAACTCCACTGATGTTAGCAGCATTACAAACCCTACTGTAGCTTGGCAGTTGGTGTTTACAGACCTATCATTACCAAGGTTATGTGTCACAGTTCTTAAAATACTAGCAGCATCCTGTCTAGACAAGACCTCCCAACACAGCTGACACTACTGATGGTGAACTGATTCGGCAATCAGGGGGTTGAAGGGTTACCAAATGTCAGTATAAACAAGGCTTTCAGATTATTTAAGATGAAGAAACTAGACATCCTTTCTCCCCTTCTGTTTATTTCCTATGTTTGGTTTGACTGTGCGAGCCCAGTGCTTCTGCGCTTGAATGTCATGTACCACACAGGGGGACACATCATCTCCCCCCAAAACACAGAAAAAACTCAATTCTAATGAAACACTGTCCATGATTGAATTATTTGTAAGATATTTTTATTTTTTTAACTCTACGTTTAGGGCATACACTACATCATCATATCCCTTCAAATATATGTACCACACGCCTAGAATATTTCAATAGACGTATTGAGCAGGAGAGAATGAAAGTGCTGTTCATTTATACAGCTGAAGCACCAATCTACATACTTCGACATTACAGGGATGGACACAATTACAATGACATGAGGAGAGTGCGCACACAAGCATGTCTAGTTGCCAAGAACCTTGGAATTCTCAACCTGGCTAGGTCACTTGATTTGCTGTAAAGCTTCAAGCTTTCCTGTCAGAACCTGTGAAGTGCTTGAACAAGAGAAGGAGGAAGGATGGTCCAATGTTGGTGTGTTTCTCTGGGGCTTGGGTTGGTGGTTGCCCCCGGGGGGGGGGGACTTGAGCTCTCAGCCTCTGGCTCCAGGGACATGTACCTTATCCACTGTACCACTGGAAGAGCCCCCCAACCTCCCTCTCTTCAGAGCTCCCCTTATCCTTCCTGTGTTCTAAGGGGTGCCAGGTCTATCCCTCGCAAAGCTACCACCAGGTTCCCTAGCCCTACCTTCCAGGGGTGCCGGCTCCATCCCTTGAGATCAAGCTATGCCCACCCAGGCAGCTGCTTGGGGGCCCAACACCCTTTGCCCCAGAGATGGAGTTGGTTCCTGCATTAGTAAGGCACCATACGGGATACCCTGAAGGTAGGGAGGTCTAGAGGATAGGGCATTTGCCTGGATTGTTGAATACAGTTTAAAATTAATTTCCCCTCTCTTGCTGCCATCCCTTCACACTCAATTTGGGATCTCTGAGTGAAGCTGAGTTTTCTTCTGGACATCAATGATGGAAGTTTTACAAGTCAAAAAATACCCTCGATGAAATCTGCGTAACCACAACACCTTCAATGAAGCAGCGAAGATCTAGCTGTTTGGCCCAAGAACTACTGTGTAGTAAATAATTCCACTCATTATGCAGAAGAAGGATTACTCTTTAGCACATTCACTTTTACCTGTGTTGGTTCAGGCGGCATAAAGGAAGCTAACAGTTTAAAAAACCAAAAGCACAACAATAAACTTACTTTTGTCCTGCCTGAATATACACAGGCAGCTTTAAGTATTTGGGAGCTATTAGTTACACGTTTCACTCTATTATGAGTAGGCCAAACCCAATCAAAGAATGTGGAGTGTAATGAAAGGAATACATCAGTACTGTGTTCTCTATATTTAAACAAATCACTAAGAAATAATATCCAGGCAAACAATATCATGCCTCTAATTAGAAACAATCGAGAACTGCTCTAAAAGGAAAACACAATTAACTACAGGTAACTTGAGATATTTTAGGAACTGAAATCAATTAATACTGCACCTGAGAGAAGGCTTTTAAATGCAAATATGATTCTTGCCATATCAAAATTAATCACTACACTAAGGTTATTGTGGGTTTCTTTTCCAGGAATGAACCAGTGCCTCTCTATTCTCTGGATAGGCATTGGCTTTGCTTACTTGAATCAATAACTTTTCAATTAACTAAAGGTCATTTAAGATCTTTCCCAGGGGGGAACCCCCCCCCCCCCACACACACACACAGAGCAATTTTGCTCATTTCATGGACACAATGTACTCATAACGGGCCCCGTCATTTTGAAACTGTCCTAAATCTAGAGCTAACGGGAGTAGATTACGTGAAGTGAATAATGCAGTGTTTTACTCAAAATTTACAATGGGTCAGCAAAGAATGAAACTAGGACCACAAAGTACTAGTCTGGCTACAAGACTATCGCCACACAAACACCAAAATGAATGGCAACATGGTTATACATTCATAAAGGGAAGTTTGAAGACAACCACAAACCATAAAGGGAAATAATATGTGTGGCTGTAATGTCACCTGAACCTACAGATTAGCAAAATGAGCTTTTTATGCATAAGATTGCTCCTTTGGCTTTTGGTTAATTTTATGGAGGAAAAGGGCTGGCTCTCACTCTGTACAGATACAGGCAGTCCCCAGGTTACGTACAAGATAGGGACTGTAGGTTTGTACTTAAGTCGAATTTGTACTTAAGTCGGAACTGGCATCCAGATTCAGCCGCTGCTGAAACTGATCAGCGGCTGACTACAGGAAGCCGGAGGCAGAGTTTCTTTGCCCCGGGCTTCCTGGAATCAGCTGCTGATCAGTTTCAACAGCAGCTGAATCTGGACACCTGGGACAGAGCAACTGGGGCGCTGCTGGGTAGGTCCCCGCAACGCTGCACCTCAGCGTGCGGGGACCAACCCAGCAGCACCCCAGCTGCTCTGTCCCAGGTGTACCCAAGTCAGCTGCTGCTGAAACTGACCAGCGGC